AAAAAAAAGAAAGAAAAAAATTTTCATGAAATTCTCTTTCTACAAAATATAAGGATGTGGAAATGACACAGAATGGTATATGGGAACAAACACTTGGGTCAAACGGTCCTCGTCTATAATACAAACTAGAAGACAGTCAGAAATTAAAAAAATAACACAAAGACCTCCCCCACCCCAATGTATATGTTTTTTTTTTCTTTTTTAAAAAAAAATAAAAGATAAGGTTGAAAACAGCAGATGACAAAATGGTTATGTTGCTGGACTCCCACGTTGCTGACCTTGGTTCAAGTCCCGGATCCAGCAGCTTCAAACTCACGCCAGGTGTGTTTGTATGCGTGCCCAAAATTCCAAGAGGAGAATGGAGGAGAATGGGTTGTGGTGTGGCCATGCCCCCTGGGGAGTAATTTTTCACTTTCTGTCTTTCTGTTTCTCTCTGTCTCTCTGGCGAGCACAAGTGCCCTATAGCAAAAATCTCTCTTAAAAAAAAAAAGGTGTTGAAAGTCCTATTTTTACTCTTTTAAGTTCATTTCTAGTTCGATAAGCTATCTAGTTTCTCAGTGGAGGGGAAATTGTACTGATGGAGACAGTGAGACTCAGCAGGAGGGAAGGGAGACAGCTGTCCGCTGGCAGGGATGGGGAAACGGTGAAACTGCCTATGCAGACACAGGATCTTTTGTATTAGCACACGGTGCAGCAGTGGGCTCAACAGATAAGGTTAAATTATACTTTGTGTACTACTGAAACATTATGCACATGAAAAATTCGTAATTCTACTTAGAGTTTTTTAAGTTTGCTCATTTCTCTCTTCCATGAGTAAGAGAGACGCAGAGAGAGACAGCATCTCCAATGTCTCTCACCCCACAGCACACTCTCAACCTCAACCAACTCTGGACTGTGGGCATGTGGTGCCCAGCACGTTCAGAGAGGGCTTCAGATGCAAACCAGAGCTCTTCCCATGAGGCTCCACCTCGTAGGTCACTGTGTTACTGCCGTGCCATTGCTCAGCTCCTCTTTTGGGCAGATTTTTTTAATGGTATATTCATTAAAAAATATTTTAGATGACAGGTAGTCTGTTTCAAGTAACCTAGAAGAATTGGGGTCTTCAGATTCCTTTGTTCCTGAATAACATCTTATTACATTTACATCAGGAAAGCTGGTCTGTTGAGTTGTAGAAAATCCAAAATAATAATAGCTGCTGGTGTAATTCATTTCATGAGTGTCCACTTTGTTTGACTTGGAGTTTACAGGCTTTAAATGTTTTCCCATTTATTCCACACAGCAGTTCTGTAGGCAGGTGCTATTCCCCCCATCTCAGAGAGGAAGAGACTGAGGATCAGAGTTATCCAAATAACTTAGCCCAAAGGGGCAGAGTTTACGTTCAAACGTGTCATTGGAGCCCATGCAGAAAAATACGTATTTCTTTCCTCCTACGTCAACCTGACTTGAAAGAAAAAGTTCACACCATGTTTACTCCTACTTAACATACCTCGTTCTCTACGATCCTCTTTCTCTTTCCATTCGCATTCT